GGTCCAGTTTCATTCTTCTGCATGTGGCTGTCCAATTTTCCCAACACCATTTGTTGAAGAGACCGTCTTTTTTCCATTGGACATTCTTTCCTGCTTCTAAAACATAAATTCTTAACAGCATAATTTCTTGGCCAAATGATATGTGAGTGTGTGCGTGTGTGTTATTTGCCAGATAACTCTACTTTACTAGCCCCACCTTACATTCCCCCAAGAGCCTGAAACAGCCACTGTTTTCACACCTTTGCCAACATGCGAGATCATCAATCTCCATCTGTGTATTTTTGCTCTTCAGGAGAAAGTCGTGTGCTCTCGTGGTTCGTACAAGTATTTACGGGAAAGGCTGAGCGTGGTCTCTCAGGTTTCCAGGCCATGTCCCTCTTTCTGGCTGTTCCTTCAATTCATTTTCCGTCGAGTCTGCGTTTCCGTGTTGATGTGCAGGATGCCCTTATCCACGGTGCAGACATTTTTCCAAGTTTGCCATCTGCCTGTGACTGTGCTGGTGACTTGTTTAGGGTGTCCTGCTCATTTTCAAGATTTCAAGTACATTCCCCTCTTCCGTTGTATTTTTTGCTTCCTCTTCGATTCATTTGGAGGATCTACTAGGGCTAGAAGTGAGGTGGGCTTGACCTGGCTTGGCCTTTTCTGTGACTAGCGAGCCCGTGTTCACAACACCACCTATGGCAGGAGCAACCTTTCCTGGTGACAGGACGCGAGCGTCAGGCTTTAGCGTCTCTTATCTGGGTCTTTCCAGAATCCTGTGTCTTCTGTCCTTCTCCTCCTGCCCCCGTTCCCATGACAGCAGCTGTCGTGGGCTTCACAGGAGGTGTCCCGGAGGGGCTGCTCCTGCCGCTGCCACATCCCCAGGCTCCCCTGCCTTCGCCGCGTGCCTGCTCCCCAGCGGTGGTCCGGCTGTCAGGACAAGCTGGCGACCACCCAGCTGCCCGATGACCTGGTCCTTGCCCTGCAGCACAATTCAGGAAGTTGTTCAAGACACGAACAGCCTAAAGCGCTACAAGGGAGAGCCGTCACTGGGGTTTACTCTTGAGTTTCCAGTTTTCAGGGCCACCGTCAGTGTAAAAACAGGACACTACCAAAGACTGGGGGGTGCAGTGAGGGACCCCTGGCCTTGCTGGGGAGGAGGCTCTGTGTCCCTCCAGCCCGTGGTCCAGCTGGAGAGGGTCTGCATGTGACCTGTGGCTCCTGGGCTGCTCGTTCGCCTGAACCCTGCATGGGGGGCGGGGAGGAAGGTCAGCTGCAGACCGTCAGCGCAGTTGGCTTCTGCCCCAGGGTGTCTAGGTGGAAGTTTCTGGGAAATGTGTTCTCCCAAATCCCGAGAAGCAGCAGTGAAGCAATCCAGAACCTGGAGGAAGGGTCACTGTCCGGGCTCGCCTCTTACCTTGTCTGGTCCCTGCGGTGGGCACCACCACCTCCTGGTGCGGATGCCAGCACTGCCTGCCAGGAGCCGTGGGGCCCTCGGGCTGCATCCCAGGAGGCACCCACCCCGCGAGCCCGCTGCTGAGGCAGCTGCAGAAACTGTCCCGCGGGTGGCGGCTGCCACGTTCCTGTCTCGTGGGGCCTGGGACGCGCCTCCCCCTGGCCTGGCCAAGGGCACAGAGGGCCTCTGTTTCCCATCGTCCTTCCTGGCCCCCATTGTCACGTCACCGGAGCCACCCCCTGGGGACCTGAGTCAGGGGCTGCTGGTCCCCGCGGTTGGCAAGCGAAGTCCCAGGTTGTGTGTGATGTCAGGGCCTGAGGTGCGGTGCCGGAGCCCTGGCCGGAGCTGGGCCCTCCTGTGGTTGCCACAGGAGAGCAAGTCGGTGGCAGCCTCTGGCTGACTGCTGGTTGATGGGACAGGCCGGATAACCGGGAGTTGTGTGCCTCTGTGGGGGGATGACGGGGCAGGCAGACAGGCCTCTGAGTCCAGTAGGGCGGCGGCTGGCGGGGTCCAGAGTGGCCAGGCGGCTCCACGCATGGTGTACGCTCACCCCTTCTTCGGCCTGGCCGGGGATGTCCCTAAGTGCTCGGGGCACTGAGGCTCTGGACCCAGAAAGGCAGGCAGCTGATCTCCAGGGAGGAGTGTGGACCAAGCAGACCAGCCCGTGTGGATCTGGGGCGGGTCCTGCTGTGGGGCCGAGAGGGGGTACAACCTGCATGTCCATCTCTGCAGGGCGAGGCTGGCCCCGCTGGACCTAAAGGTTACCGAGGTGACGAGGGGCCCCCAGGGCCTGAGGTGAGTGCCTCGCCCGCCCTGCCCGCACAGCCCAGCCCCGGGAGGGCCCGAAGGACTCGGGAGCACCCCCCCACACCCCGGTCTGCGGACGCACACAGATGTTTTAGTGTGATTCGTGGTATCTCTGTCTTTCAGGAAATTTGGAGAATGCAGGAAAAAAACAATTGAAATCTAAAATATGACCACCCAGAGATAAATAACAGGAACATTTTAGCTTATTTCTTTCCAATTTATTTTTCTTATTTGCATATTATGCCTTATAAATTGGGCTTCACAAAGGTGTTTTTTTTTTTAATTTTATCATTATGAACATTTTCTAAAACCCTTAATGATTTTGCACATGACTGATGCGTGCTTCGGCGGCCCCACCTGGGCTGTGTCTCTCTGCTTCTCAAGCTCTAGGGTTGGGCCTCTGGCCTGTCCGGAGTCCCCAGCCCCTGAGGTAACTGTCCACAAGCACGTGGGCCCCCTTTTCGGTCGTGTCCTGGGGGCGCTCCCTGGGTGGGTTACTGGGTAGGAGGTCTGTTAACCCCGTGGGCAGCCCCAGGATGATGGATTTAAAAACCCTTCTCTTAATCACTGCTGTGCTTATGAGCAGAAGCATGTTGTTTTATTTAACTCACCCTTCATTTTCCTCAGAGACATGTGGTGCCTCTGAGCCTGCGTTGCTCACTTGCTTTTCCCCTCCTTAGGGTTCCAGAGGAGCTCCAGGGCCCGCAGGACCCCCTGGAGACCCCGGGCTGATGGGTGAAAGGGTGAGTGGCATTCCAAGGGCTCAGGGCCTGGGTGGGGCTGATGCCCGACTGCTGGGGCCAGGGAAGCTGTGGGCTCGGGCGCCGGGCCTCTGCCAGGAAGAGTTTCCATGTGGGGTCTGAGGGTCCCAGTTGCCGTGTCTGGAGAGGTGCGCTCTCCACAGGCGACGGTCCTCTCTCAACCACTGTGGTCCCTGTGGTCACCGTGGGCACTGCCCATCCTGTTCCAAAGTCTGGGGACACTCAGGGCAAACCTGCGCAGGGGACGCCTCCCGGGCTGGTGGAGCCCCTCAGGCACCACCCTGGGCTCGGGCGATTCCCAGTGACAGACATGGTCTCTCTCCTCTCCGTAGGGGGAAGACGGCCCACCCGGAAACGGCACCGAGGGCTTTCCTGGCTTCCCTGTGAGTCCCCCAGAGTCCTGCCCCATCACCCCCTTTGCACCAGCGGGGCAGGCCCAGGACCACGGGCTGACCCAGGAAGTGATGGCTGGGACTATCCATCTGGTGCCCCCACCCCGGCCAAACCAGAGCCTGGTGTGACTGTCCTGTCTTTCCCTGCAGGGCTACCCAGGCAGCAGGGGCCCCCCGGGGATAAATGTGAGTACATGCCCACCATCGGGGTGCTGCACGTTCACATGCACACGTGTACAACACACATGCACACATTCACACATGCATCCTCGGCCCAGGCTTGGCGCCCAGGCCCCGCCCACATGTGTCTCAGTCTGTGGGCGCCCCTGCCTGGCCCAGGGGTGCACTGACACCCCCCCAAACCTTGGGGGGTCCTCTGGCTGGCGCTTGGCCTCAGTGTCCCCCCAGGCGGGACACCGTGTCTCCTTTATCTTTTCCTTTTAAAACTTCTGCTTCTTACAAAGGAAACGTGGTACTTTGACTTACAGTTAATAGAGCCGATTTAAAATAGAAATCTGGTGGAGGAGAGGGACCGCTGGATGCTGGTGCTGGTTGACAGCCTCCCTGCCCACCGGCCTCGCCTGAGTGGACATGTGTCTCTGGCCACCGCCCACCGCAGGGTGGAATCCACTCCAGCCCTGGGCCAGGCTCCCAGCCACACACACATACCTGCTCCCCAAGACTCGCTGCCCCGCTGACCGCGTGCTCCCCTGTCCCCTGCAGGGCACTAAAGGCTACCCAGGCCTCAAGGGGGATGAGGGAGAAGCCGGAGACCCTGGAGAGGACGTGAGTGCAGAGCCCGCCCGGGCTGCTGAGGCTCTGCGGGCGGGTGTGGGGCACCACACACGGGGCCGTGGACGGATGGCCACGGATGGTCTGGCCGTGGTGGCTGTGTGTGGTGACACGGTGCCGTTCCCTTCCAGAACAAGGACATCTCACCCTCAGGCATCAAAGGAGCAAAGGGCTACCGGGGCCCTGAAGGCCCCCCGGTGAGTGACATGGCCAGCCAGGGTAGGGCACCCTGGAACTCTGAGGCTGCAGGGGGGTCGGGGCAGGAACCTGGGGTGCGGGGCTCTGGGCAAGGCTTCAAGAAGGCTGGCCCTTTGACAGGAGGGAGGGAATGGGCCATTTCGAGGGTCGCGGGGGCTTCAGAGAAGGGGGAGCCGCTGGTCACCAGGTGAGATGTGAGGAGAGCACAGCAGAGCCCAGGGTGGGTACCTGGGGGGGCGCGTCCATCCCGACGGCACAATCAGATTGGAATGAGCTCTGCACCCCTGGTGAGTGCCGGTGAGCCGCACACAGGCCATGCCCAGCCCACCCGCTGCACCGGCCGTCACAGAGCAGGAGGCCGTCAGGGGCTCTGCAGCAGCCCTCGGTGTGCAGCGGTCCGGGGGCTCCTTCTGGGAGGTGGGGTCAGCCCAAGGGCCAAGAGGGCTAGGGATAGGCTCGCTCAGGGCTCCCATCAGACCCGCAGTTCAGGAAGCGATGCACTCTTACCACCTTCCTCCACCCCTTCCTCTGACAGGGACCCCCAGGCCACACAGGACCGCCAGGGCCAGATGTAAGTGGGTGTCTGTGAACGTCCTCGGGGGCTGACCACTCTGGCCACGGATCCCATGGGGTGGGGTGCCATGACAGCAACAGGGGAGCATGTGATCGTCATGGAGGGACGCGGGGTGTCCACATATCAGTGACCACGTCAGGTGCCCCTGTACCCGGTGCCTAACACCCTGGAAAGGGAATCCCACTGTGGTCCCGGGGCAAGGCGACCCGGAGGGCCAGTTCAGCCCCTGGTGCGTGTGTCTCTTCCCCCTGCAGGAATGTGAGATCTTGGACATCATCATGAAAATGTGCTGTGAGTATCTCTCTTCTTTGAAAAAGGAGTTGGAAAGAATTAGGTCCCGCCGGCCCCAGCGCCTACCTTTGGCGCTCACAGAGAGATCTCTTAAACTGTGGAGTGGGGGGCAAACAGGGGGGCAGGAGTGTGCCCCACTCCCGAGGAACCTCCCCGGGGGGATGCGGGCCAGGCCACTGTCACCCCCACTGGCCGGCCGGGTGGCCGGGGCGCTGGGCAAAGCAGCCCGCCCGGCTGAGGGCAGCGCAGGCGGGCGGGTTTATGATTTCTAGTGCGAAACGGAATGTAACACCTTCTTTCTCCTCTTTCTGCAGCTTGCTGTGGTGAGTCCTTAGCACGGTTGGCGGGTATTCCCTATGGGTGCTGGGGTTATGCCCCATTGGCCCGCCCCGTCCTCCCCCAGGACCCTGCACGGACGGGGGCCAGAAGCCCCAGGGTCCTGGGTCAGGAGGGGGTGGCTCTACCGAGTGGGGCCCAGGGAGGCCCCCAGGGCTGACGCTGTCCTTGCCCGCAGAGTGCAAGTGTGGACCCATCGACATCCTCTTTGTGCTGGACAGCTCGGAGAGCATTGGCCTGCAGAACTTCGAGATCGCCAAGGACTTCGTCATCAGGGTCCTGGACCGGCTGAGCAGAGACGAGCTGGTCAAGGTGAGGCAGCCCTGCCCGCTGTGTCCCGGGGAGCAGGGCTCTGTGCAGGCCCCAGGCTGGAGAGGGGCCGGGCCCTGGGGGCGGTGTTCCTCCACCCACCGGAGCATAATAGCCATGGAGGGCAGATGGTGGGTAAAGGGGTGACTGCTGGGAGCTCCACGTCCCCTCCTGACCGGGGCATGTGACATGCAGTTTGAGCCTGGGCAGTCCCACGCGGGTGTGGTCCAGTACAGCCACAACCAGATGCAGGAGCACGTGGACCTGAGGGACCCCAGCATCAGGACCGTCCAGGAGCTCAAGGAGTGAGTGCTGTGTGCCCAGCCGCCCGCATACCTGTGGTCCCCGAGGGTCCCCGGCCCTTGACCCTGACCCCATGCAGCTGGCCCTGACCCAGAGCCCCACCCTGGCACTGACCGTGAGTACCCTGCCCCACAGAGCCATCAAGAAGCTGCGGTGGATGGCGGGCGGCACGTTCACAGGAGAGGCTCTGCAGTACACCCGGAACCAGCTGCTGCCGCCCACCCAGAACAACAGGATTGCGCTCGTCATAACGGACGGCCGCTCGGACACCCAAAGGGACACCACCCCGCTCAGCGTGCTCTGTGGTCCAGACATCCAGGTGGGGCCACCTGCATGCCCCATGCGCTACCGTACCTTCCCCACTGGGGCCATGCCAACACCATCCCTCCCTTACAGGTGGTCTCTGTGGGCATCAAGGACATGTTTGGCTATGTCGCCGGCTCCGACCAGCTCAACGTCATCTCCTGCCAAGGCCTGGCACCTCAGGACCGGCCAGGCATCTCGCTGGTCAAGGAGAACTATGCAGAGCTGCTGGAGGACAATTTCCTGAAGAACGTCACCACCCAGATCTGCATAGGTGGGCTTGGGGTGGGGGCCCTCCACGCAGCTGTGCTGGGAGGCAGTGTCGGGGCAGCTGAGACGTGCTCTCCTCTCGCTCCCCGTGACCTCCTGCTGCAGGAGCCAGACACCCCCGGCCAACAGCACAAGCACCTCCCCACAAGCGGCCCCACACTTTTGCTGGAGGGGCCCGTGGCCCAGCTCCCATGTGGCCCAGCTCCCACGTGGCCCGGCGTCTGTGCAGGCGCTCCCCGGAGTGTGGGCTGCCCTGTGCTTTGCCTACTTTGTCCTGGGATCACTCACACTCACTGTGGTCCATCCACATGCTCCTGTCGTGGGTGGCGTTGGAGCCGAGACCACTCCCCGGCCCCCAGCTCAGAACATGTCCTTCTGGGCTCCTTCCGGCCATAGAGCGGGGCCCACACCCACAGTGCAGGCAGAGAGAGCTGCTGGGGTCCGATTTGCTCACGTGGCCAGCACGTGGTTAGCGTGGCCCGCGGACAGTGTGGCACGGGGTGTGCCACACTGTGCGCCTGCCACGTGGGGGCTCTGGTGCCATCTTGCTGGGGGGTTACAGATGGAAGAGTGGTCCGTGAGGTCACTGGCTTCATGCTGTGTTTTCCTCGTTTACAGACAAGAAATGTCCAGATTACACCTGCCCAAGTGAGTACCTGGGGCGTGCGGGGAGGGCGCTGCTGGGGGCTCCCGGGGGCTGGAGGAGGTCGGAGGTGACGGGAGGCCGGGCAGCCGGCCACCCCCTAACCCCCCACCCCCGTCCCACAGTCACATTCTCCTCCCCGGCCGACATCACCATCCTGCTGGACGGCTCGGCCAGCGTGGGCAGCCACAACTTCGACACCACCAAGCGCTTTGCCAAGCGGCTGGCCGAGCGCTTCCTGACGGCGGGCAGGACGAACCCATCCCACGAGGTGCGCGTGGCGGTGGTGCAGTACAGTGGTCCCGGGCAACAGCGGCCGGGGCGTGGGTCCCTGCAGTTCCTGCAGAACTACACCGTGCTGGCCAGCACCGTGGACAGCATGGACTTCTTCAACGACGCCACCGACGTCAACGATGCCCTTAGCTACGTGACGCGCTTCTACCGTGAGGCCTCGCCCCGTGAAGCCAAGAAGAAGCTGCTGCTCTTCTCCGACGGCAACTCGCAGGGGGCCACGGCGGCAGCCATCGAGAAGGCAGTGCAGGAGGCCCAGCGGGCGGACATTGAGATCTTCGTGGTGGTGGTGGGCCGCCAGGTGAACGAGCCCCACATCCAAGTCCTGGTCACGGGCAAGACGGCCGAGTACGACGTGGCCTTTGGCGAGCGCCACCTGTTCCGTGTGCCTAGCTACCAGGCCCTGATGCACGGCGTCTTCTACCAGACCGTGTCCAGAAAGGTGGCGCTGGGCTAGCGCTGGGTGGCCCCTCTCCCACTGCTAAAACGGGGAGTAAAATGTGACGTGAATGTTCCTGACCAACCTGACGAGCTACATTTTTGTAAAGGAAAGGCTTGAAAAGCCTCATGTGTTTTACCTACCCCTCTGGCCCCGTGACTCCGCCAGCCAGCCCGTCCCCTCCCCTCCGTGCTATCATCCCCCAAACTCCTGCAGGCTCTGAATCCCCAAAACCTCCCTGCCTTTCCTGGGGGGTCGCCTGAGCACTGACCCCCCGCCCCGCACCTCCCTCCTAGCCTGATCTTTCTCACGATTCCTCCCCGATTCTTTAGTGAGCATTTCATGTACGTTCTCAAAGTCTGCTAGTGAAGTCGCATGAGATGGTGGACTCTTCATTTTTGGAAAGCCAGGGTGGAGGGGGTTTCTCAAGCATCACCCCTAATGAGGAGGCTCCTCCTCACAAGGTCCTCCCTGCTCAGGGCTCAGACCTCGGTTCCCACCTCCTTGGGCCGCAGAGCTCAGGGTGAGCGGACGAACTCGGACCAGCATCTCCAGCAAAGAGCAGAAAATGGTGGCTCCTCAACCCCACGTCCCCGAAAACCCTGAGAACAAAGGTGCTATCCTGTAGACCCGCCTCCCCCTCTGCTTGGAGGCCTAGGCCCCTGGGCCAGCCAGTGGCACAAAGTGATGTGTTTTATTGTTTTGCTTTGTTTTGTTTTCTAAAAAAAACAACCCAAAGCTCTTTTTCCTCAAGGGAGTGATTGGTTCTACATTCTATTGAAGACCCTCTTTATAGCTTAGTTTTATTTTTACTCCTTCCTGTGTTTTTGCTCACTGCGTCCATGTCCACAACTTTTTGAAATAAAAGTTTTCACTCCGCGGTCATCTTTCTGAGGAGTTACCATCTCCCCCATGTTGGTACTTCCCACCCTAACAGGAGGGAACATGGTGACGCAAGCAGGCTGTCAGCCTCTGGGTCTGGGGAGGGTGGGGGAGGATCGTCAACGGAGGGGCAGGACGTGGGAGGGGACTGATGCCCTGATTCTGCAGAATCAGAAGCACATTAGGGCTCAGGGGGCTGGGAGCTGGCCAGAGCCAACAAGACAAAACCCCACAGAGGCCAGCATTCTGGCACCAAGAGCCCCTGCGAGTCCTGGAGGACCAGCAGGCCCCACGGGAAGCTGCCCTGGGACACCTGGAGTCCAGAGAGAGGTGGCCGGGGGCCATGGCTGTCCCCTCGTGGGCGTGGCGCCGGCCTCAGAGAGGGCAAAGTGGATGGGGAGAGAGGAAATGCACAGCCACTGAAATCCCCAGGGCTCGTCGCGGCCCAGTTGCTGGGCTGCCGGAGAGCAGAGCGAGGGGAGGACGTGGGATTGGTCACATTCAGGCCCTGGGGGGAAAGGCGCCAGGGCCAGCAGAAGCGGGTGGTGGGAACTGCGTGCGGTCCTGGCCCGCAGGGAACCCAGCAAGTGGGGTAGGGATGGGACAGCCCTCCCTGGACGCGGCCTGGAGAGCCAGGCAGGGGCCAGGGGCAGGACTCCAGTGGAGAACAGCACCCCCAGACAGAATTAGCGGGGTGTCTGACTCCCTGTCTCAGCCCCTGCTCCAATGTCACACGGGCGCAGGCCGTCATCCACGGGGCCCACACCACACGCCACGGCCTGAACCCAACATGTGCCCACCACGCCCGGAGAGCCCCCAGCCTGACCTGCAGCGTGGAGCCTCAGGGCCCTGAGCCAACAGAGAGCCTGGCTCCTTCCCCACCGCCCGCAGCTAGGTAACCTTGAGCCAGTCCCCGGCCCCTTCGCCTCAGTTTGATCCACTGCAAAATGGGTTTGCAGCCCTGTAACGCCCACCTGGGAGGACTGCGGTCAGGCCCCAGGCCCCATCACTCACTGCTCCGTGAATTCAGGGGCCGAGGAATTCAGCCGCCTGGTGCCCACGGCAGGGAGGCCAGAGGGCTGGCTGGGGAAGGGAGGCTGCGGGGAGAGACAGCAGGGGCCCCGGTCGCTCAGCTACCGCTCCCTATGGGACCCTCCTCCTCTGCCCTCTGAGCACGGGCTCCTGACTGCCCCTGGCCCACACCCCGTCAGGCGGGGTCTGTGGGTTTTCCTCCTCCAGAGGTGTCCCCACCGTGACTGGGAGTGGTCACCCCAGAAACCCCTCCTGAGGGCAAGTGGGAAAGCAGAAATGTGTATTTCCCTTTAAGAAGGGACCGCGCCTTTGATCCCGTGAATCATCTCTCAAATCATCTCTCTAACTGGAACCGGCTGGCTGAGAACTCAATCTGAAATCAGGCCACACTTAACTCCTCGACCCCTCGCCTCCCAACATCTGCGAGGAAAAGATAAGGAGCCTCTGTCACACTAGAACCTGACATTTAAGAACTAGGTTATGAAGGAAACCTCAGGCTCCATCGTGCCTGTGTCCGTTCCGAGTTTGTAAAAGCAGGATTCTAGATCCTTGCATGAAGTCTCGAAACATGCGTGTAAAGCCAGTTACCCTATTGTTGTGGAGGGGCCTGTGCTCCCCATTCCTTGCCACGCCTCGAACAGCCAGTGCCTGACAGCTCTGACGCCTGTTCCCTGAGCTGCCCATCCATGCGGTTGGAGGTACGCGGCACGGGCGTGTGGCGGGGAGGGGCTGGACACCCCTGGGGCGTCCTCCTTCCCCCGGCCCACTTGCCCTGACCCAGAACTGGGGGGCCAATCTCCCCAGCCCTGACACTTCCACCTTCGAAAGAGTGGTCCTTGAGGGAAAAGAAACTGGAGGGCCCTGCCGCCCACCCTCCCCACCAGCAGAAGCTCCCCAGGCTCCATCCACTGGCTCCTGGCCTCGCCCCATCACACCCCATAGTCTGTCCACGCAAGTGAGGGAGGGGGGCCAGAGAGCCCCCACCGCAGGTCACGGCCACCCCCTGTCCAGCTCTCCCCGCTGGCTGGCCCGGGCTCGGCGGCGAGTCCACGTGGACAGGGTGAGGCTGCAGCTCTCACTTCCTTCCCTCACCTCTGGTGGCCCTCTCTCAGGGGCCCTTTCACTTCTGATTTCGGCAGCCACATCGGCTTAGGTGTGTTTCTTGTAGATGGCCTATAAAGGCATTTTTTCCCACCCATTCTGACGGTCCTTGTTTATAGAAAATCAAACACATTGACATTGGCTACCACAACCGGTATTTGGTCTTCAAAATGCATTTTCTATGCTAAGGATATGCAGGAAGGGACATTTTTCCATCTGGGATTTTTGAAAACACGGGTCAGCATGTCAGAGAGCTTCATGGCCGGGACCCTGGGGACCGACCCCGCCCGGGGGATGTCTCCAGCCCAGGGTCCTCGTCTGCAGGTCCACTTTCTAAGGACACAGATGGCCATGGGGACACAGGGGTGTGGCCTGTCTTTAGCCGTTGAGACGGTGACACTCAGGGTGCCCTGGAGACCGAGAATCCACCTCTCAAGTTAAGACTCAATGCCTCCTCAGGGAACGCAGGGGGCCCCGACAACACACCAGAATGGCTGAAGTTCGCCTGACGGCGCCAGTGGTCCGGAGGGCACGAGCCTCGCACGTGGCTGGCGGCGGCACGGGAGGTACGCCCCTCGGCACTCTCCTGCAATCCCTTGTGCCCCGGTCACACTGCTCCCCGACCCCCTCCGGAGCACCGGCCAAGAGCCACAAAAACATCAACTCTTGGACCAGTAGGAGAATGCACCTTAATGTATGCGTCAAAAACTGCAAGCAACCCGGCCGTCCATCATCAGGAGAACGGACAAGCAAACCATGGCTCACCCATGTCATGATCTCCCCTCCAAAAAAAACAAAAGAAGCACACGACACAGAGAAGTTTCACCGCATTGTGCTGAGTGAAAGAAGCCAGACACCGCCGAGTAGATGATATGTGACCCCGCCTGCTGGAAGCTCCAGGGCGGGCAAGACTAACCACGCACGGGCGCCAGAGCTCGGGCACCCGGACTCTCTGGACAGTGGGAATGCTGTCTGTCTTGATGGGGTGTGGGTTCTGTGGGTGCGTTTCACAGAAGCCTTAGATCTGTACACGTAAGATCTGCACATTTCCGCGTGCAGATGCTTTACCTTAAAAAGAACAGGCAGACTTGCTGCCGTCTACACCAGCCCCGCAAGCTCACACACTCTCCCTTCCTGCTCCCTGTGGCCGCATGGCCCACCTCCCGGGGGGAGGATTCCCTCTGGGCTGCTATAAATGCAGGCCCATCCCCCCTTTCGAAGGCAGAACACGGTGTTTGTTTGTTCACACTGACCCCTCCTCCGAAGACACACATTCATACCCTCCCTTGAGTGGGAATCGATGTCTGACACAGGGAATTCAGAGTAACTAAGGTCCCTCATCAGTTGACTCTGAGTTCATCAAATGGAAGATTCTACCAGGTGGGTCAGGCCTAAAAGATGTCAGAGAGATTTCTCCGGCTGTCTTTCCTGTGAAGTGCCCTTGGAGAGAGCTTCACAGCTAGAACCTGAGGGTGGGGACCCCAGCCCTGCAGCTGCGAGGAACTGAATCCTGCCTGAAACCGGCGAGTCTAGAAGACACCAGGCCTCAGAGGAGACGGGACAACAGCTTGGTTCCTGCCTGTGACTCTGAGCAGGACCCAGCGGAGCCGCGCCCAGACCTCAGACCCACAGGGGCCATGAGATGGTCTGTTTGTATCATTTTAAGCACCTAAGTTGGTGGTAATTTGTTATGCATCCATGTTAGTTAGAACTATGCGCCCCGCCAGTAGGTCTCACCACCCCCCAATCCTTGTAAACTCTTGCCCCCTTCCCTACCCCTCACTCCTGAAGTCGGACCCATCAGCCCACGCTGGGTGCACCCTTCCTTTCTCCCAGGAGGAAGGTCTCCTGTCGGGGTTCCTGAGACCACCCACGCCTCTCAGTGGAGTGCGGCCACCAAGGCACCCCTAGCGTGGCCACCCCACTCCTGGCCTCCCACGCCCTCCCGCTGCTTCCGTTCCCCCTCTGCCATGCCCATCTTCTCCAGCGGGGGGATGACATGGGCAGGCCCAGTGTCATTACCAGGCTCTCATGACTGGGAGGAGATGTGCGTGGGGGAGGGGAGGAAGAGTCAGAAGGACCTGAAGACTGAATGCCCCTGCCTTTGCAGGTGCTGGACGGGCCAGGAGTCAAGGAGTGCAGGTACCTCTAGAAGCTGGAAGAGGGAGGACATGGATTCCTTCCTGGAGCCCCCAGAAGGAACCAGCCTTGCTGGCCCATTTTAGACTTCCTGACTCCCCAGAACTGTGAAGGATTAAGTGTGCATTG